AGAGAGAGAGAGAGAGAGAGAGAAGGTTTAAAAGGAGGATAGAATGAGCCCTCCGGCCGGATGAGAAGAATGGAACTCAGAGGGCGTCCCCAATGAGTCGTGCCGTTCTCAGGAGATGGGTTCAAGGATGAACCCAGGAAGGAAGGGGGTGTAGGTCGTCACCTAGACCCTCACTTCCCGGAGGCAAAAATGCTGGAAGCCGGAGGGACCTAGCGCGCTAGGGTTTACCGGACGGTGGGGGTCCTGGACCCGGTAGGAGGAAGGTTAAAAGGATTGAGAGAAAGAGGAATGGGGCTTAGCCTCTGGGGCCCGGGGGAATATGATTAGGGTGAAGGTCTAAATAATCTACAAGCCTGACAAAAGGAAAAATGGGGCTTACCTAACGGATGAGCCGGTGGTGGGTGAAGGAAGCCAGAGCCGGAGAAAATAGACGGGGGCGGACCATCAGTCCCGGGGGGGTCATGGAGGAGTCCGAGGAGGTCCGAGGAAGGAGTCCCCTGGTGCAGGGTGAACTCCTTCCCGGGTTTCGGCACCAAATGAAGGGGCGCACGGATGAAGGAATCACGCGAGACCCGGGCTAATAGTTCACCAGAGAAGTTCCGCTTTATTCAAGGACTGTGCGTACATTTATAGGGAGCTGTGTTCCAGGTTTGGATAGGGGGTGGACGGGGCTGGGCAGTAGGTGAGCCTTGACTTGTGACTGGCTGAGGTTTGGCGTGGGTGGGCTTGGGTGTTGGCTCCGACGGGCTTTGTTTACTGTGGAGAAGAACCCAGAAGGGCGCCATATTGCTGGGGAATGCTTTTCCCTTCCCCCTCTGCTTGAATGCCCACGGTATCCTTACATTTGAGTGCCTACGGTATCCTTACATTCGAGTGCCTACGGTATCCTTACATTCGAGTGCCTACGGTATCCTTACAAATACCACAGGCAGTGTTTGTGGCTCAGCTGCTAGGAAACAAACTTACCTCTACTGTGAGTTTAATTTCTGCCAATTTCTCAGAGAGAATTTGATTTCTGCCAAAGTCTCACCACGAACACTACTGACATCAAGGAAGGTAATGAGTGAAGGTGTTCTATGGAGAGTCACTGAGAATGTTAGCTTTGAGTGAGGACTTCAAGTGTTTCTTTGCTGAGATGAGAACACTCTTCTTCATGTTTACTCGTAATCACTAGAGTCTGTTCAGGTGTGGAAGAGTACGGTATATCCAGAAAAATGTTTCACTTAGTGGGTTAGTGTTAATAGGTTATTGTTCTGTGATATGAAAAAAAATTACATGGGAAAACCCACTTGTACCCTTTAAACGGTTTTTAAAAATCATCTAGAGGATGAAGTACTTATAGGTATCTCTGAAATTAAAGGGACAATGAGGAAAACATGCAAATTTGACGACCTGATCAACTCTTCAGTGCTCATTTCCTTTGTAAATGAGGTCAATTACGTTATATAAGCACAGACAAGTTACAAAGTAAAAGGGTGAGCAGAGAAATGGTGCAAATAGCACAGTACGTGTGTTCCTGAGATTATAAGACAGGAGCTGTGGGACCCATGGCAGGAGATCCTCAGTGGAGTGATTATCTGTTCTGAGAAGACAGCAAGCAGCCACCCTGGTGCAGGTCCAGGCTGGGGAGGTGAACACTGACAGCCATCCAGCATGTGGCACCAATGGAGTGAAATAGCACATGATTCATGTGGAGCAAGTTTAGTTTGCTGTTTTTTTATAGTTTTCATTATTACGTGGTAACTCAAGACATTGTCCAATGACCAGGCCCAGTATGTTGTACCTTCTTTAATTCAGGTATCCGTTAGCAGCCCGAGTCCCTGAGATGGACACGTAACCCATGTGCGCTTTGTTTGTTTTCCAGAACTACACACAGTACATCCCTCTGTCTATATATGACCTGCAGACATGGATGGGCAGCCCGTCCATCTTTGTCTATGACTGCTCCAATGCTGGCCTGATTGTCAAGTCCTTCAAGCAGTTTGCGCTGCAGCGGGAGCAGGAGCTGGAGGTAGGCTGCTCTGCTTTTGTTTTGCCTCTCGTGTGAGGGTCGGGTGGGGAGATGGGGGTGCTGGGCATTCTTTAAATGGAGAAATATTTAGGGTGCTGAGGGCACGATGGCATACTTGTTGATTAGGACCTCGATGGCAGGTGCTCGGTGTAAGCTTAGGGCTTACGTTTACATCTCATTTTACTGTGTCATTTTTGATTTGAACATTAATTAGGCGATAACAGTAACAGTTGATTTGTGCTCCAATAGTCTCTGCCTCTAAGGTAAATGTTGAAATAAAGCAGACACAGTTATTTTAGGAGAAATGGACCCATATCGTCAATTCCACTAGTATCTCTGTTATTGCCCCAATTTCTTTTTTCTTTTGTGTTTTTTAAAAACACAACATCACTAAGCTAAATGATGGGAAACAAACCCAAACAACTGCCATTTAAAGAATGAGAGAGCTTGTGTGGTGCTCTCGATAATGAAGAGACATTTTGCTTGGTTGTTTTAATTAATATTTGATGTTTGAATTAAACAGTGCGTTCTAAAGAGAAATTGAAGAGGCAGTTTCAATTAAGAGGCCTCCATCCTGTGGCCTGCACAGAGTGTCAGATAAAATATTCTGCAGCCTCGAGGGGGTCGTGAGCTCTGGTTGCAATGCAGGAAATTCTGAGTTCAGGAACAAAATGGTCTTGAGCACGTTTCCTGAAACCTTTCTGGGTCTATTCAGTTCTGATATATTGTCATTCTTTTCACATTTCACCAGAGGATAATGCAGAAGCAATCAGCAGCAAATTTGAAATTCTGTTTGGCAGAATTTAAAGTCAACAGGCCTACTGTTTAATATTTTATAAACATATAAATTGGGTCCTTTTGTGGAACATTGCATGAGAGTGACCCATAAATATGATGCTCTTTACCCTTGAAAATGGAGCCAAGTGCCCCACGTTTGTTTGTTTGCATTCTGTAATAAGAGAAAAGAAAGGTCAAATTTTGTATTATCAAATTTCCACCTTGCTTTTAGGCATTTCATCTGGGTTTACCCAGGGACTAGGTTATGTAATGAGCACTAAAAAACTCAGAGCACTGAGAGGTAATTTGCTTTCCCTCTCATCAAGTAATAAACGTTGCAAAAAAATTGTGTTTTACATTTATAATATGTGAATAAAAAGGCCAAATAATCCTGCCTGATTTTTTTTTTTTTACCAGATTTATGAGCAGTAGAGTGATTAAGGGAAAGACCAATACATCAGCCATAGTTAATTAAAACATGTTAAATATAGACCCTCTCCCCTTTCAGCAGAAAGCGAACATCTCTAGCTTATGCATAATATCAAATGTTTACTTTCCACCACTTCGAATATCTGCTCAATTGGTACTGTATGTGGTCTCTATATGTTGCCAAGGATTAATCAGCCAAAGACACTGTTCATTTCATTAAGTGCAACAAAAAAGATTTCCATGCATCTTTTTGGGGGAAAAATGTTTAATAGATTCAGTCCTCATGAAGGAGATCAAATGAAAAAAGTGTCAGCCAAGGTGGCGCATAGATGGCACTGAGAAGCTGCACCACGTGTTCATAGCTACCTCTGATTTCTACCTTTGTTCTTTTTTAATTGCAATGTAGATCAGTCTTCTGTTTTTCTATTACACTTACTATTATTGGCTATTGTTCAGTTGGTCTCTTGCATAAACAGAGGAAATTTAAGATGGTAAAATTGGCTCCAAGCTAATATCTTAATGCTCATTTCAGTTGTTTTATTCTCTGCCTTAGAAGTAGCAGTCATGTGTGGCTCGCTAGTTTATTCTTTTAAAATATTCTTTCCCTTTCTACAACTGGCCAAATTCTTCGTTAAATTTACAGTATGTCAGGCTAGCTGGTTAGCTCAGTTGGTTAGACCACAACACCAAGGTCCTGGGTTTGGATCCCTGTACAGGCCGGTCATCAGGGAAAAAAAATAAATAAATAACCAGTATATTTTAATACCTTTTATTGTACAACATGTGAACTGAAAGAAATTGGCAGGTAATGGTTTGTGCAAGTGTTTAAAAAATAAAGAGAGTAAATATGATTAAATATATTGCAAGGAAATGGTTACTTGGACCAGAAAGCCTGCAATAATAAACATTAACACAAATATGAGTGACATAAACTTTAAAGAGATGATTACCCGCTTTCATATTCTTAGTGGCCTAGTGCTTGTACTGGGACTGTGAGGATTATTTGTCGTGTACTTCTCTCTCAGAGGAACACTGTAGGCAGAGCAGAAGACGACTTCATAAGGGCACAGTGTAAGTCATTGCACAAAATTGAAACTTCATCCCAGCCGGAAAATTCATGTCACTCAGTAATCTTTATGTTCTTCATTGTGTCATATTGCTTTGCAGTTTGAAAATTAAGGAAGATCTTCAAGTCTCCCTGCTTTCAATGTTCTGTTTTATTTAATAAGTATTTTTACTGTTACCAAATTAGTTTAGGCCATGGTTCAAACAATCCAGTAGCACAGTGGCTTACAACGAACAGAGTGGTCCTGTCCCCAGTTCCCAGCCTTGACTCCTTTTCTACAGGCCCTTCTTTTAACTATTTAAGTCCTTAGCTAGGGCTATCTCCATATCTGTAAATAATATGCTGATAATACTGCCTTTTGATTCACCAATATTACGGTATCTGTGGGCTTTCTGCTGTGATACAAACCCCAACAGCTGCCATTAGTAAATTCTGTGTAAAGAAGTAGAGAAATTATGTAGAAGTCTGATAGTGAAGAAATATGTTACGTGGTAGTTTTAATTAATATTTGTTATCTGTATTTAACAGTGAATTCTAAAGAGAAGATTCTGAATTGAGAAGGTGTGTCACTAACCACCCCTTCATACTTCCCCAGTGCCATTTAGTTATGTTGCTGTGTTTGATTGCTCTGTACTTTGTAACCTCTGGAGTTTTTAATAGTATCCTTAAGCTGTCATTTCTCACTCTGGTCTCCAGACCCTTGGCTTCCCTGCACTTTCCTTTGCCTCTTGTCTGTCCCAACCCTGTCATCTGTCCTGTTTTTGTGGTTATTTTCCATTCTCTGACAATCATTAAGTCCTTGATGCTTGGTGTGTGGATTGATTCTATGAAATGACAGACACTGAACTTGTAACTGGGCCTATTAGTCCATTTTGTGTTGCTATAACAGAATACCTGAGACTGGGTAATTTATAAAGAACAGAGATTTATTTGGCTTACGATTTTGGGACAGCTGCAGCTGGCGTGGGCCTCAGGCTGCTTCTGCTCATGGTGGAAAACAACAGGCAGCTGGCAGGTACAAGCAGATCACATGGCGAGAGGAAGCAAGAGAGAGAGGAGGTGCCAGGGTCTTTTAAACAACCAGCTCTTCTGGGAACTAATAGAGCAAGAACTCACTCAGGCCCCCCACCCCAGGAAGAGCATTAATCCATTCATGAAGGATCAGCCCCCATGACTTAAACAGCTCCCCACACTGCCACACTGGGGATCAGATTTCCATATGAGTTTTGGCGGAGACAACACATTCAAACTCTTATCACCGGGTAAGGGCCATGAACGTATTGTACATTGTGTGACTAAATAGGGTACTATGATTTCCATTGTTTTACAGCAGCTTCTGTTTGTTTGCTGTTCCTGGAGATTTTCTCTTTTCTTCTTATTTGTCTTTAATACTTCTCCATTTCTAAATTCTCAAGGAGAGCATCGCGTCTTGGCAGACGCCCTCTTCCCCAAGTGTCTTCCTCCCAGTTGCTTGTTCTGTGCAGGCTGCTCCACGGCCATTCTCCCGGGCTTCCTCTGCAACTCTGCTGGGTGCACCCCTGCTTTCGAGGTCCCAGCTCTTCCACTTTCTTGATTTTCTCCTTTGTTCTCCTGGAGCAAACCCTCAAGTAACACCCGAGAAAGGACATAGGGACGTGGTCTCTCTCAGACCTCAGGCATTTACATATGGAATACTTTCATCTGTAAGTAAAGAAAAATCTCACAATTGGTTTCTAGATAAATAGCACTTTGTCTTTTTCACTAATAAGGTGTCTGAGACAAATGACTCACTTCTTTAGCAACTCCACTGGGGACCAGGTGATTTCATCTTTCCACTCTGGCATCCTTAGCTGCTGACCCTCTGTCCTCACGGTGGCCACTTGCCCACCACAGCTCAGGCACTTCGTGTGTCTTTGAGGCAGGAGGAAGTGGCAAAGGGGCAATGCTGGCCACACCCATCTCTTATTAGGAATGGAGATGCAGACACCCCTTTTAATCTCCGTGGTTTGAGCTGGCTCCCATAGCCACCCCAGCTCTGGATGGGGGCTAGCTAAAGGGAATGGGGTTGGGATGGCTGAGGAACATCAGCCACATTGCGTGTGTGAAATGTCATCGCTCCAGGCACATACATCACTGATAGCGTGGGCGTGGAATTTGAGGCTGTTTCCATTCTTCAAACAATCCTGCTCTTACTACTTGTGGGGGATGAGTAAATGTGCCCCACAAGTCTGCCACCTGCCTGTGGCTGTGTCCCAGATCCACAGGGACGACTGCTTCATTCTTCAAACAATCCTGCTCTTACTACTTGTGGGGGATGAGTAGATGTGCCCCACAAGTCTGCCACCTGCCTGTGGCTGTGTCCCAGATCCACAGGGACGACTGCTTCCATCCAGATAAAAGCCAAAGAAGGAATATTTACAGTTGAAATGCACAATATTTGTGTAGAATGATTTGGAGAGAGAGAGCAAAAACAATTTAATATTTTTGCAACAGTTTCTATCTCGGATGTTAAATCCTTGGTCTGTAAACTAGAAAGAAGGGCTAAGTCTTAAATAAACAGATTCTCTTTGAAATGCTCTGTATTACATATTGCGCATCAGTTCTGCTTCTAAGAAATATCTCCCGAAGGTAGTTACAATTCTCATCTTCCCGGAAGACAGTGGGAAAGCCCTGACTCAGATCTAGGCGGGTTTCTCCTTTTGCACTGGGGCAGGCCAGTGAGTTGGCCTAGCAATAGAAGACAGTAGCG